TGGGGCAAGTCACTCAACTTCTCCGAGTGTTGGTTTCTTAATCTGTAAAACGGGGGTAATGAGACTTACTTTTTAGTGTTGTAATGCAGACTAACGAAGACAAGTAATGGGCCTAGTCCCTAGGAGATAATAAATTGAATGTTGGAAGACGCTAAGAGAAATTCAACCATGCCCTCACTCAGTTCTCTCTGGAGTTAAGAGAGCAGGTCAGCATCCACATAATAATCTTCAGATTTTTATGTCCCGTTCCTGCCTCTAAAGGCCGAGGGAAGGCGTAAGATCAGCTGAAACCGAGAGACCTTCTTATTAGGGGTGTGTGCGCGTGTGTGTGTGTGTGTATGTGTGAGCCTCTTGGCTGCCAAGGATATCTCCATTACCAACCGTTTCCTGCTCCCTCACCTCAGTTCCCTGTCTCCTTCCATTTCATGAGACTAGAAGCTTTACAGACACTTCCTGATTATTTCTTGGTGACATACATTAATTGAAGAGGAAGCCAAGCCTTGTAGGGGAAGGGCAGCTCAAGTCTGAGCATAACTTGGCACAACCTTCCAGCTCCCTGAGCAGCCTTGTTCCCCTTTCCTCTCAATTTAATTTGGAGCCAGGCCCGTGGAGTCACTCCCTGGCCCGTGGTGGAGTTGTCTGGAAGGGCAGAGCCAGACACCGCCCTGCCTTGTAATTACTGGCCTGGTCCTCTGCCATCTCCCCAACCATGTTGCAAGCAGACACCAAGTTCACTTAGCGCCACTGGAAATGGCAAGAAAATCAACATGTTGCTTGATAGTCTTCTTGCTTGCTTCTCTTTCTTTTTTTAAGTTAGGGAGCCACAAAGCCACCGTGAAATCACTGAAAATGTCAACCAAAGAACTGCCCACTTCATTTGGCCCTTGTGTGTTTTTTTAATCTTAATTACTGTATCAATGACATTCCACCTTTCAAAGTAAATCCTTTTCCTCATTATCTTGGTTTGCCATTATTATTGTCTGAGTTGCAACGGATTTCATGACAACTCTGAAAAACCAGAGTGGGCTAAATTTAGCTTTAATTAGGCATCCTCGTAGCCCCGTGATTATTTCCTCATTTCATTCGGATTCTACTCACTGGAATGCTGAGTGAGGGTTTGGCACGGTTTTCCTGCAATTTTCACAGAATGCTCCGCCACATTTCTTGCGATCATGGTGATTGTTTTGTGCCACAAATGGTTTTTGCAGATTGAGCTTTGATCCCCGTTTATAACCCAGAGGTTATTAGGGACCGTCAAGCTATGCTCCACACTGGCAGCTGCTGGGAGCAAAACAGCAAACATATCAGGGAGTCTCAGCCTAGTATTGACCTTCCCAGACTACCCCCAGTGTGGATTGGACATTGGCCACTCCAGATTGGGTGTGCCTGTCACCTCTGAATAGAGAGATTTCCACTGGATTCAAATGATGTGCAAAGTGGATTTTTGCAGACCTTGGCTTATCCCTCCCTCGCCTGGAGACAGTGAAGAGTCCTGGTTAAATAGTAGGCTTTGAAGCAAGAAAGCCAGGTTCCAATCTCCGCGTGACCTCTTACCAGCCGTTTGACTTTGGGGAATTTACTTCTTTGTGCTTGGGTTTCTTCATCTGTAAACTGGAGACAATGGTAGGATTGCTTCCTAGCGTCACTGTGAGTACTAATTGAGTTAACATATGTGAAGCATTTAGAACAGTGCCTCGCACAGTATATTGCATATAAATGCTTCTTGTTGATGCTGCCGCTGTTGTTATTACAGGCCTCCTGGAAGACAACATCTAAGTTTTGCTGGGAAGTAGCCGTAAAGCAGAGAGGCTGGGATTAAGGAGCAAAATTTCAGTCCCTGGGAGAGGAACTTGCAAGACCCTCCAGGATTCAATCTGCAGTGGGCATCTATTGATCTGCCTGACCGACACTCACGCTGTCTCCTGGATTTTCCTTTTTGGAACTGTATGAGTCAGGGTCTAGTTGGCACAACAGAGCCACTCCAGATCTTTCCAATCGAGTGAATGTATACTGGAAACTAGTTATGCAGTTAATGGAGGGGTTGAGAGGCCAAACAAAGGGCGACAAGGCTACCCTGTGCTTAGCATCAGCAGGAAATCTCTCCCACACTCAAGGCTGGAGAGTCGAGGAAGGAGGCAACATTGCCAAAGTCCAGGGCCATCTGGTGGCAGCTAGAACTATGAGGGGCCTGATCAGCAGAAACTGGGACTGAAGGGAGGGGCCCCAGAGGAGACACAGCATTGTCTGCGACATTGCCTGAAGCAAAGTAAGGTGGATAAATACGTTGGATAAGTACGTTGGCTTCCCTCTCTTCCTGTCCTCTAATCTTCCATCAGTGCTTCCAATTTGCGGAATCTACCTGGGAACCAGAAGGCCACGACATCAAGGATCTAGAGTTATCTGTGACGCAGAGCAGAGATCTTAGAGCAAACAGGCAAATGACTGGCCCAGAAACCATCTCTCCCCCTACCACTCAGTCCACAAGACTCTGGTGGAGTTGATCTTGACCTTTGGCTCCCGGGGTAGATGAATGACCTAGGACTGGCCAATCAGTATATTCCACTCTGCTCGCTCTAATGACCCAAGTTAGTCCAATGAGAGTGAACCCTGGAGCTTTTGGAAAAGAGAAAGCATCTTTCTCCTAGGGTTGCCAGGCTCACAGAATATAAATGTAGAATTGCTCCCAGCCACCTTGCTACCATAGACAAAAGAATGGCTTAGAAGGAAGCCAGCATAAAGGGAAGGCAGAACAATGGGAATGGGGAAAGATTACCAAGAACATTTGAATACCTGGGTCCAGCCACGACTGTGCATAGAGCTCTGAGTTATGTGGACCACAATTTGCAGCTCTCCTTTTTTTTCCTTTTTTTTTTTTTTTTGGTGAGTCAATTTCTGTCACTTGCAACCAAATGATTTCCAACTAATATACAACAAGCCTAAGACAGAGGTGGGCTATAAGAGGTGACTACAATAAAAACTTGTGAACAGTGACTGAGAGGGAAATCTCTCTGTGGGGCCAGTCACGGGGCTGGACCCCTGTAATGACTCAGAAACCCAGAGATCCAAAAGAAAGGCCCCGCATCAGGGCTGAACTGGAGACACAGGTGATGCCCCTGGTCCCTGCTTATCCAAAATGGATTCTAGACACTCCCTACTTGTCATGCAGGATTCAGCTATAATAAACTCCTACCAATTCCTCAGCCTTATTTTTTCTCTTCCTTATCTCCACGTGTGCTATTCCTACAATACTGAGAACTCTTTGTCACTCTCATCCCTTAATAGTCATTATCCTTATGAAGCCTTCTGATGTGTCAGATATGGTGATAATGGGCGCATATATACATATATATATTCTCTTTAATCTTTGCCTGTGAGGACAATAACGCATGAGGTAAGAATTTTTACTGTTCTCATTTTTCAACTGTGGAAACTGAGGCTGAGATGGGTTAATTGACCTGCCCGGGATTTGAAGCCAGGCCATTGGATCCTAGACTCCACTGTTCTAACGATCATGATATGAGCCTTTCTCTTCCCTGAGTGTCCTTATTTATCCTTCTGGTCTCACACAGATCTACCCTTAAATTAGATTCAGTCGCCCTGCTGTGCATTTCCCGAGCTCCCTGTTCTTCGCTCCTCATAGTTGTCAGTACGTGGGGCTCTAGTCACTTGTTTGTCTGTCTTGGCCCTCAGACCGGTCCCCTAAAGACGTGGCCTAGAGCTCCTTGGGCTCCACGCTGTCCTCAATGTCCAGCACATCACAGACCTTCAGGACCATTTCCATAACTAAAAGAAGAATGAACGTTGAACCACAAGTGTTGATTTGAAGGAATCCTGTCTTTGTTCAGGATTAACCTGAAAATTGGGTCAGAAGTAGCCATTCTCACATAAGGATCAAGGATTTGGGCTGTAAGGCGCCAAGGACTGCTACAGATATGGGATCAGATACAGCTTGATCTAGTCCCAGAGTCTGAGAAATAGGGGATTCCAGGCCCAATAGCTGAGAAGGAGAGAATATTAGGCAAGGGAGTCCTTGCCACACCCCGAAATCTTATCATCTATATCTGCCCTGCTTACCACACAGCCAGGATTCTCGCCTCATTTGCCTTCTCCAGCAGGCTGTGAGCTTTCAAGAGCAGCAGTTCTGTCTTTCAGGTCTATTTCCTGACCCTTAACATGGTGCCCGGCACCCTGTGGGACCCTCCTGGATGCTGCTTGACTAGTCATTGATGGAATCCTTGTTTCCAAGGCCACTTGCTTTGCTCTCCTGGGCTGAAGTGTGATGGAGAAGGTCCGTGCTAAATCCTGACTGGCTGTTTGCTCTGTGCAGCCTTAGCGGAAGTGCCAACCGTTCAAGGGACGTGCACACTGACCTTTCACAAACTCTGCATGCTTCCTTATTATTTCTGATAATGTTGTCTGCCGGATAGCAGATATTGCTCTCCATTACTCAAAATATGAGATTATTGGCTTAAATGTGGTCCTCTAGGCATTGTAAGCAGTTTTCACATTCACTTATTTATTCATGTATTCAGCATTCAGCAAATATTTACTGAACACGTGTCAAGTACAAGAAGGCACATGGTAGGTTCGTGGCTATTGGGGGTGGGAGAAGGGGGTGGATATAATAAAACATGAATCCTGCTCTCTAAAAGCTGAGTGCAGATAGAGAAGATACTATTTCTAGGGCACCCACCACGCGCCAGGTGTGTGCTAAATATTCTGCATATATTGTCTCATTTATTCTTCACCATCATCAAAATGTAAATAATAGATGAGGCAACTGAGGATCTGGATGTTAAAGCTACTTGCTCAAGATGACACAGCTAGTAAGAAGCAGAATGGAGGGGCCGGCCCGGTGGCGCAGCGGTTAAGTTCACACGTTCTGCTTCTGTGGCCCAGGGTTTGTCGGTTCGGATCCCAGGTATGGACATGGCACCGCTTGGCAAGCCATGCTGTGGTAGGTGTCCCACATATAAAGTAGAGGAAGATGGGCACAGATGCTAGCTCAGGGTCAGTCTTCCTCAGCAAAAAGAGGAGGATTGGCAGCAGATGTTAGTTCAGGGCTAATCTTCCTCAAAAAAAAACCCATATAAGAATGGAGATTCCTCCTCGATCTCTGAGACCTGAAGCCTGGTTCTTTCCTCTATGCTGTACTATCATCCAAAATAAGGATGAAGTAGAAGGTAGGCAGTGACCCTGGAAGTTCAGACAAAGTGCCATGGAAGGTCAGGGGGAACACTTTCATGCATGGGACTGCTGACCACTTCTGGAAAGTAGAAGCCATCCACATGGGTCTCTCTAACACCCATCCCCTACCCTGGATGAAAACTGAAAATTCCACAGAACCTCAGGTACTTGTGATCTCCAACATGAAACCACCAGTTTTTTGGAATCAACTTTCCATTTCTATCAGATGGTTTGTGCGTGACAGACACAGCCTTAGGGGTTTTTCCATTCTGCCTTGCCTGGCACTAAGCATCTGTGTGGCTGTGTTCCATATGGAACAGGGCGCTGGGAGCAGGCAGAGGTTAACCTTTTTTGAAGTTGGAAACTGTCAGTTTCAGGATTTCAAAATGTTTGCTGTCTAGGGTGGAGATTGCCTTGGGAACAAAGTCACCCTTTGTTCTAGGAGGTCCCCTCTGCTGGGCACTGCTAGTCAAGACTTGTGAGCCAATATTCAAATCTGGGAAGTCACCCAAAGGCAGATGATGCAAGCTGTCTATGTTCTGGTTAGTCCCATAAAGTGAGGATGCAACAGAAGGGCGGGAGAGAGTTTCTTTTCTCCTAAAGCTAAATTGAAAGTATCCTATGTCAGAAAAAAGTATTAGCGCTGTCTATGTGTTTCTCATGGAGATTATGAGTGTTGGCCAAGGCAGGTTTCCTTCACATCGGGTTAGAAGAAAGACTGTCCTGGGCTTGGTAGAGAGCTATGCACAGGGTGATGGCTTCACACACAGAGCGAGCAGCCCCCACTGGGAACCTGGCCTGGTTCAGCTGCAACAGTCCAGTCCTGGCCATTTGCGTCAGACCACAGTGTGTGTTGGGTGAGGTGCTAAGGTAGGACTTAGGCACCCTGGGAACTATACCACACTGGGGAAGACTTTACTCCCACTTTTAGGAAGACTCATTCCTCCATGGGTGGCTTCAGTTGATCCCTGACTTGCAAGGGTCTCCTGAGAAGCAGTTAAGATCCCTGAAGATGAGTTCGGGGCTCCAGGCTCTGGAAGTAATGACTCTTGGAGCAGATGTGAATTATCCTCTGTGGGCTATTTCTGTAATTCCCAAGTCTTGAATGAATTCTCCTTAGAAGAGAAAAAGTAAAAGTTACAAGCATGCATATTAGCATCATCCAGGTTGATACCCTTTCATTTACTAGCTGTGAGCATGTGAGCTTACTTAAACCCTTCTAAGCCTACGATTCCTTGCTTGTAAAATGGGTAATATCCATTTTACAATATTTACAATACTTTTTTTTATCCCATTGGAGTGTTGCGCACTGGCTGAAAATGTGTAAAAGTAAATCAGAATTTTATTGCCATTTTGGTGTCTCCATAACTAATTTCCCAGAGGCAGCCTGGCTGTAAATAAAAGGAATTATCATTAGACATTAAAAGCAATATAATTATACTTTTTTAAAAATACCTTTCCCCAGAGAAGTTTCAGTTAGATGCTGATGACAGTATTTTCATATTTTTCTTTTTCTTTCTTTAGCAACGATGTAGAAAAGCATGAGTGCCTATTAATGAGAAGATTGTGACAAAGGTGCTATAAAGAAATGGGGTGAAAATGAATCTATAATGATAACATCACTTTGGATAAACTTATTTATTATTAAGCATGTTTAAAAAGAAAAATGGGTAGTAATTTAATTCAATTTGTAACATTTTGATGGAATCATTTTCATTAAATGGTAAAGAGTGCATATTTTGAAACATGCTGTTCATATTTCTCTAGGAGGGGAAATTCCAGGTCTTCAGGAGCAAGAGAAAGCTGGGTAACATATCTTCTCAACGAGCGAGGCATCGTCCTGGAAATCCGGTCTTCCTCATCCCACCAGCTTCGATTGTTCAGCTACTCCGCTCATTGTTTTAACTGGCAGTTTTCAAAGAAATCAACATGAAGAATTCTGCAAAGCAAAGTTGGGCATTTGATTGTAAAATCTGGTGTGAAGGCACGATGGCGTGCTACTGGGAGAATCAGAACAGCTTCCAACTTCATAAGCCGTTCATGAAGCTTAGATTCTAAACACACAGACGTCTTTCTTGACTAAGGACAATGTCACAGGTGATTTTCTGGCTGCTTTTGATTAAGTACCTATACCTTTAATTCTTTTTAAATCACAAACAGTTTTTAAGTGATTTGGAACTTGGCTTCCGGACTCAAACTGCGAAGGTTGAAATCTTTAGCTCTGCGGCTCTGACCAGCTGACCAGCTTTCTTCAGCTTCTTGAAGCCTCGGTTCCTTTTTAAGTCATTAAAAAGGGACTAAGAATCCTTATGTCAGGGCATGAAGTGAGGATTTAGTGAAATAATACATAAAGTGCCTTGCACAATTCCCAGAAATCTTTGGAATTATTTTCTTTTGTTATTATTATTGCACTTGCAAATGATAGAAACCTAACAAATTAGTTTTCAAAGATAATAATAGCATATGTTGGGGACTTACTGTGTGCCACTCACTGGGATAGATGCTTCATCTTAATTGCTTTATTTAATTAAAAGGACTTTTCAAAAATTACGTAAATGAAAAACCTAGGTTTGGGCTGGTTTCAGATAAAGCTGGACCCCAGTGTTCAATAAGGTCCTCAGAAATCTGTCTCTCTCAACCTTTTATCCTCTCCTCCATGTTGGTTTCAGTTTCAGCCAGATTCTCTCCATGACGGAGCCAGAGAGCTCCTAGCAGTTCCAGGCTTTCATCCATTCAGCCCCTCGAGCTCAACAGTTCTAGGAAAAGTCCCAGATGGCTTTTGATTGAATAGATTTAGATCAGTGCCCTTCCCTGACCAATAACAGTGATCAGGAGGATGATCCTTCTGATCAACCTGCTCACTGGCCCAACCTTTGTTTGGAGTGAAGATTGAGTAGAGGGATTGATGGCAGCTCAGGTTGTAGCCTTTCTACTTTAGCTTCTGAAAAGCAGGGCGCACAACAGGGAGAGCAAAAGTCTAAACTCATGGACAACATCTTCAGGAGACAGAAAACCCCAAACCCAAAGGTAGCAGAAACTGGCGTGAAATCCACAATGGTGCAACAGGAAGGAAGGGGAGTTCTGAAATGTACTACAAGCTGCAAACCCACCAAATGGTCAAACACAGGAGAGGGTTGCGTCTTGAGTGAGAACCACGGTGAGCAGACTTGAGAACAAAGACTAGAACCAGGGGTTTGAGGACGGCAGAAGGCGTTGCAGGCTCCAGATTACATCTCAATAAGCAGAGTGGCCTGTCAGCAATGTCATCTCAGGATCTGTTTGGGAGCCCAGATTGTGTGCTTCAGTGCATCCCCAGGACTCCTCAGAGAAATGGCCGATTCTAGGTCTGGGGCAGGAAAGACGCAGGGTGAGCTCGAAATAGCTTGTTCTGTGACAAAGCAAGGAAGCTTTCCAATATTAATAGATTTACATCAGTATGACAATAGAAGGTGGTCTGAAGGGGCTCCCAATGGCCAATGATGGCACAATTTGGGCATCTTTTTGATCATATAATAATCATTATTGATAAATTGTATCTAATGTACAAAATTCATGACTTCATAAAGACACTCAAAAAAGAGAAAGTGAGAAAAGCATCACATGAGATGTCCATTAAACAACTCTTTACTTTTTAATTGGTAATTAAGGGAAAAAATTAAATATTCTGCCCTTCCAGTAGGAACCATATGCCAGGATAACCAACTAGCCCACTTGATGAAGAGAAGCTGTACTTTATCAAAGAATGCCAATTAATAAGTGCAGAAGGAAGGATAGAAGTTGAAAACATCATTTCCTAAAAACTAATGAAATCATGAATTTAGGCAACATTTATATACTAGGTGAATGTTTGATGGAGAACAAGCCACTGGATAGGGGCAAAAACCACTATACCAATTCCTTCTGATCAGGTATCAGTTATCTATTGCCAAGTAATAAACCACTCAGAAAATCTAGTAGCTAAAAACAATAATCATTTACTGTTCTTCATTACTGTCTGGGTCAGCTGGGTTGGTTCTTCTGTCTGGACAAGCTCTGTGGTCAGGTAGTGGCTCACCCGGGGCTGATGGATCTCAGACGGTCTCACTCACATGTCTGGCAGCTGACAAGGATGGGTGGATGGCTGAGGCCTCCCTCTATATGGTCCCTCAAGACGGCCCAGGATGGCTTTACTCACATCTCTGAGACCTTAGCTGGAATAGCTGGGGGCATTCTCCATGTGGCGTCTCATCCTCTAGTAGGCTAGTTCAAGCTTCTTTACATGGCAGTCTCAGGGTTTCAGCAGCAAAAGGGGCAACACCCTGTGCACAAACATTTCCAGTCCTCTGTTTACATCAGGTTCACTAGTATCTGATTGGCCAAAAAAAGTCACATAGCCAAGCCCAGACTTAAGGGGTGGAGAAACGGACTCAATCTCTAGCTAGCATGTCTAGCAGAACTTTCTGTGACGAAGGAAGTGTTTCCTCTGCACTGTCCAAATGGTAGCACTAGCCACAGGTGGCCACTGAGCACTTGAAATGTGGCCAATGCAACTAAGGAACTTAATTTTCTATTTTAATTAATTTAAGCTTAAATTTAAGTAACGATATGCGGCTGGTAGCTACCACATTAGACAGTGTGGTTCTAGATGGAGAATCACCCTATGGTACATTCTAGCCAAAAACGTGTATCATGAATCCATCAACCCTTAGATCTGATTCCAGTGTGTGGGAGAGAGGGGGCTAAAGCAGCGAGCTGCACAGCACAACAAGGAAGCCGGCAGACAAGCCGAGAAGCTGAGATATTCCACAGGAAGACTGGCCCTATGCCTTCAGCAAGCCCATGTCACAAAAAGCAGATCATGACAGATTGAAGAGAAATACGGGATTTAATAGTCAGATATGTTTCTTGATAGGATTCCTGGATAGGACCCAACAGTCACAAGGATTATTTTTAGCTTAATTGGGGAAATTTGAAGATGGTTTAGCTATCAAATGACATAAAAATATACTGAAGTGGAAAGGTAAAGATCATTGACTAAAAAAAAATACATACAGCTGTGTGTATATATAAACACAAATACACATACGTATATACGTATATACAAAGGCACAAGCATCTGCACTAAGATGTAAGACCTGCTGATTCTGGCTAATGGGAAGCAGAGTGAAGTTTTATTTGCTTGTTGGTCTGTGTTTTCTAATTTTTTATAAATGTAAATGTGCTGTTTTTATCATAATAAAAAGAAAAGATAAAGACACTACTAAGTGTCTAGGAGCTGCCAAAGATAAGCAGTCATTGTACAATGTGTGTGTGTGTGTGTATGTTCAGGAAATGTTTCATCATGATAACGTTGCAAACACTTCCTGCAGACAGGGAAGGACTCTGGGGCTCCCCAGCTGCTGAAAAGGCTCGGCTAATGCCGAGATCGAGTACACGGATCACTTTCTCCTGACGCCACAGACACTTCAGCTGTCAAGTCGGATTAGTCAATCAGCATATCCCATTGAGTAGCATATTCTAGAGTGTTCTAGTCTAAATCATTCATGGAAGCTTTTAGTTATCTTGCTTGGTTTCCCTCGGAAATAATGGCCCCGGGGACTGAACGCTGTGTAACAGAGAAAGTGAATAAATTGGTGCAGGCCGTGCCAGGTGTCAAACACATAGGAATATATCACAGAAAAAGTGCTCCATCTATAATTAATGACAACATTTTAAAGTTTTACCAGATATTGGTAATACAGTGCTTTCTTTTAATGCGGTTTTCCCTTTAACGACGTGTACATATTTTAAAGTAGGTCTAATATTAAATATACATTAAGCTCTTCTTATAGAAAGCGTAATCACTGAATAGAAAAATTTGTATTTATAAATGTCTCATTGTCACCCTTTATGCAATTATTCACCCTGGGTGTTCAACGTAGAAGTTTCAAGAACATAATGTTTGTCGCAGAAAGCGTATTCAAGATTGCCAAGTAAAAAGTGAATTTATGACTGCCGATTTTTTTACAACTTTTTACGTAATTGCCAAATTGCTGCTGTCATAAATCTAGATTGCTTCTAGTTTGTTTCGGAATTACCTGGCTATCTTTTAAAATAAACACGTATTATTCTTTCTGAGTTACAAGCCCGTTAGGGTAGCTAAATCTTTCTAGCAGTCAACTGAATAATTAAATAGCAAGCCAACAGCTTTTATTGTCCCCTAAATCTGCAATTGAACATGTGCGACGGAACAAATGGATACATTTCTCTTTGGGACCCATTAGGGAGAAAGGAGAATTTTAAAACTCCTATAGTCTAGCAAACAGCAGTTGTTCAAGTGTTAAGTTCTATCAAATAAAATTAAGTGAAATCAAATTCTCTTCCCATTTGTATACCTTATATCTTTGTGGAAATTGCTTATTCTGAGACACAATAGGCTGTCACACTTGTGCCCTAAGTTTCCAAAGCATTAAGTCATTACTCTACTATCTAATTTCTATTTGTGCCATATGCATTTTCCCTTAACTTTGGGAGTAAACGTGAGCTTTAGCAAGTTCACAGAATGATCTATTTTCTCCAGAGACTCCTACTGCCAGCATTGTTATCAAGTCCTTGAGAATGGTACTGCTCCATTACGGTTAATTTGCAAATTAGATACAGTATGATATTTTGGTTATAGATAAAGAATGGTAATGGTTTTGTAGCAGTTTGCTCTTCACCCTCGTGTTTACACAGAGCCCTCTCAAATTGCTTGTCCAGGGATCTATCTACAATCTTTATTGAGCTCGGTTGTTTACAATGTATTTCATTTAAATGAGTCAAGTGGAGGGCATCACAGGAGGAGAAATGCAAAGCCTTTGGAGCTAGGAAGTATAAGTTGTGCATGTTCGTTCTTTTATACATATTGGTGCTTGCAATATGCTAAGCATCATGGATGGACAATACAGGCACTCATATAATTTACAGCCTGCTGGGAGTAGCAATTATTAAAAATACAATTAGTTAATTAACTGCAATCATGAGAAGTGGTATGAAGGAGAAAAAGAGATACTATAAAAGTACGTAACAGGTCACCTGACCTGTCAGGGCACAGGGAATGGAGGCCGGGTAGGGAGGAATCAGTTAGAAAAGGCTTAACTATACACCATTCAAACTGAGAGAAGGAGGAGGGAAAGTTAGTAAGTGAAGAACAGAGACAAGTGTTACAGACGAGGGGAGAGCAGCATGTGTAAAGGCCCTGAGGTGGGAAGGGACGTGATAGATTTAAGAATTGAAAGAATGTCAGCAGATATGGCTGACACGCAGACAACAAAGGGAGAATGTCATGTATGGCCAGAAAGAGGCAGAGGCCAGGGGGATCATACAGATCACGCAAGAGACATCAAGTAGATTTGATTATCTGGGGTTAAAGTTAGGTAAAGAAGGAAAGATTGGACCACTTAGTTTGGCTTTAATATTGGCTTTTTAATTTTCTTCACTTGAGCAAGAAGGAAAAAAAAAAGAATTCTATCAGTGGTGTTTGAGCAGTGGTGCATAGCTAAGATGGCATCACTGTGGAACTGGAGCCTGGCCTTCCAGCTCAGAGGATTTGCAGAACTCTGCTCAAGGACTTATGAGTCTGGATGTGGGAGGGAAAAAGGAAATGTGTAGCTGAGACGCAGCAGAGGGATGAGAATCCACTGGCTTTGATGAAAGAGTAGATGAGAACAAAGAGAGAGAGAAGAGTTGAACTTAAGACTAAGAATAGGAACCTCATGCTGATGGCACTGATCAACCAATACCTGATGGCAGATTGTGGATGAGTACTCCAGCTCCTTGGGGCGTGTTCCACACTGTCCCCCAGAGGTCTCCAGGGGGGTTGAGCCCCACTTGCCCACCTTTCTCAACTGCTTGATAGCAAACCTTTTATTGGCTTCCTTCCCTTCTCCATCTCACTTCTCAGTTCCCCTACTTCCTGAAAACATCTCCCAGATGAACTACCTGACTTCACATTCTTGTATCAGGGGACAAAAACTAAGATAGTGTGAGTGGTGGGGAGAAGATGAAACACACACACACAATTTTAAGTTTCAAAGCTTCAATAGAGTCAAAACTTGGGATATAGCTTTGGGTGTCATTTTCATGTAGATGATAATTGAATTCCAAAGGGTTTCTTCAACAGCTCTTCCTCAAAAAGAAAAGGGAGGCTCAGACACTGTTGGAGGTGAAGGGGCTCAGGCCTCCCCAAGATGTGCCACTTTGGCACGTGGAGTTTTTTGAGCTAAAGGCAATTGAGACTCTGGGCTCCAGAAAAACTTTTACTTCTCCCTCAAAGAATTTAAATTCGGGGTCTTGCCCATAATAAGAGTTATTTCCAGAAATAAATTTTTATGAGCTATCTCTATGGCAGGGCAAACCTCTAATTTCTGACCATCTGCTCTTCTTGTTGTGGGGGACTGGAATTGGCCACCCCAAGATATGTCTCTTTGGCATGAGGATTATTTTGGGCTGGTTACTTTTAAAAAGTGCAGACAGGAAAGAAACTCTGAAAAGTAGAATTTACTTACCATTTGTCAAGAGACATTTACGTTTGTAAAGGAAATTTCCTTCTGTAAAGGTGTCTCCCTCTCTGTACCAGGAGGAAGGGGTTGACCTTATCTCTAGAAACTCTTATCAGTGCAGAAGTCAAGGACTTAAATCTGCATAATAACCTTACTCTTGTTTACTGTGTTTTTCTGGTAATCTCCCATAACTGACTCCCCCACCGCCAAGATCCTCCTTTGTCTTTAGCTGAGGGTGGTATTTAAGGGGAGAGCTTCCACCATTTTGGTGAGTTGCTCAGTTTGCCTGAACTTCTCCCATGTCTACATGTTATAAAGCTTTGTTTAATTTTCTCCTGTTATTCTGTCCCATGTGAATTTAATTCGATGTCCGGCCAGGACCCAGAGTGGGTAGGGGAAATGTCTTCCACCCCTACATTGTCATCCTGTGAATTACCCTCCTCCCCTCTGAAGCTTCATGCCCCCATCCCATTCCTTAGCTCAAGATGGCATAGATACCTCATTTTACCCTTTTGTCTCTGACTCTCTCGCGTATGTGGAGTTCCTGTACATACAAAATTAAATTTGATTTCCTCCTGTTAATCTGTCTCATGTCAATTTAATTTTTAGACCAGCCAGAAGAACTTAGAAAGGTGGAGGAAATTTTCTTCCTCCCCGGTAGAGGATATGGGAAGATAAGCTTAAAGTGGCAGAGAGGATGTTGCTACAAGTGAGAGTAACAAAGAAGTTTGGCTTTGTACAAGGAAAGCTTTCAGAATAGCTGCTTCGGAAACTTGGAAGAAAATTTACACCACTGAGAAAACTGTGTAAGA